CTTAAAAAACAAAAAGATAAACAACATAAAATTTGCCTTTTAAAAATAGTTTCCTATTATACAGTCCAGTAGCCTTAATTGCATTTCCAATGTTGTACAACCATTGCATTATTTGCTTCTAAAACATTTTAATCACCTGAAAGCTATGTATCCATGAAGGAGCCATTCTCCATTGCACTTACCTCATCTCCTGGTAACCATAAATATATTTTCTATTTGTCTGCTCTACATATCATGTGGCAATGAGATCAGTGTTTGTTCTTTTATGTATGTCGTACTTTAGCACAAAATTTTAAGTGTTATTAATTTTTTAATTTCCGACATTATAGTCTTTGTTTCTAGCTATAGAATAATGCTGTTGTTCACATATATCTCAGAATTTTTATTATCTCTTAGTAATAAGCTCCATTTCAAAATTTCTCCCTTATACTATTAAATATTCTAACGTTCTATATCTGAAGACTTTGTGGGTATATTTTCTTACTTTCATTCTGCAGCTGATTCTACTTTGTTATTTCATTTTTCTTCCTGTGATTTTATGTTTGTTGTACTTCCCATGGAATTTCCTTTTTTTCCCTTGAAGCCCAATTATGCATTATAATGGTATTTGAAATGTATTATATTCTTTTAAAATGACATTTTTAATGGTCGATTTTCATTACAATGCTGGAAATATATATCCAGATATCAAAACCCAATCACTGTCTTATTTGCATTACAGTCAAGAATACATAAACGATGAAGGTAGCCTTGGCAGTATAGTAGGTCATGAATTGGGCTTCTAATAATAAGATCAGCAGTTCAAAACCACTAGCCGCTCCACAGGAGAAACATGAGGCTCTCTACCTGTAAAGAGGTACAGTTTCGTCAACCCACAAGGACAGTTCTAGCATGGGCTTTAGGGTCACGATGAGTCAAAATAGCCACACCTGAGTCCTGGGCAGTGAACTTGGTTAGACATTTTGTCATATTTTCTGTTAGGGAGCATTTTATTTGTGAACCACAATTACACAGTTCACCTTATTTCCAATGCATTTTTGTGTCTTCAATTGATTGTAAAATGGATTGTCTGAACGTAGATGCTAATATATTGGATAGTTGCCCCAAACAATGACTGTTTTAGTATATTCCTGCAAGAATCTATTCTCACGGCAATAGATATTTCATCTGCACAGTCACCCTCCCGCTAGTAGTGTTCATCGCTGAGAAACAGCTCCTCTGCGGGAGAAAGAGGCTCTCTGCCATGGTAAAGATTTAGTCTCGGGGAATCCTGCGCTGTAGTTGCTATGGATTGTAATTGATTCAATAGTAGTGGGTTTGGCGGTTATAAAAATACCAGGCATGCTGGTGGTACTGTGGTTAAAGTACTAGGCTACTACCTGTAAGGTCAGGAGTTCAAACCCATGAGGCGCTTCATGGTAAATGATGTTGGTAAATGTTGGGCAGAGAGATCTTGGAGAGAAAGAAAAGAAGCGAAATATGTGGCTGTTTGTCTTCATAAAGATTTACAGCCGTGGAAACCCAGTCATACTTGATACTCTTGCTTCACTATGAGTCAAAATCAACTCAATAGTCATCAATTTGGTCTTTTTTGCTCTATGATAGGCAGTAGATGTGCAATAGAATTGCTGAGAAAAAAAATGGTTTACTCAATTGGGGGAATCTGAGGCTTCCTAAAAAAAGGATGATGACAGTTGATCCTGTTACTGAAGTATCAATAATTATTTACCAAAAGAGATAAAACAAAACGATTCCATGTGGAGAGAATAACATATATAAAGAGAGGGGATACATGAAAATATTATGCTTTTACAAATTATGGGGTTCTGTATGATGCCGTCACTAGTGATAGAAGACAGCAGTGGGATCTATGAGCGATATTTTATGCAGAGTTTTGTGTACCACCTAGGAAAGGAAAATTGAGTCGCTGGACAATGTCCTACCATCCCTTTAGGATGTTTCAGATATATAAGTATCCTGGTGAAGAAGATAAACAAATCTCCTGGTAAAGTGATGTTGGGCAGAGAGAGCTGGAGAGAAAAGAACACCAGAGAAATACAACAGTCAGAAGGATTCGGGCGCTTGTTAGTTGCGTTCAAGCCAATTCCAACTCTAGACAACTTCATGTCGTCCAGTTAGAGCGACCCCACAGAAGTCACGGGCGGCACCTGCTCCCCTGCAGCGCGGCAGCAATCCTGCCGTCGGCGAAAAGAACACCAGGCTCTCTATGCGACTACAAGAGAAGAATGTATATTTTTGCATGTCACAAAAAATCCCAAAAGCTCAAGACATAAGCCCAACTTCTTCAAGTGCTATGGCCAGTGTTATTCCGAAGAAGTAAATACCTGGTGATTTGATTTTTTTAAAACAAATGACTAATGCTACCTTAGTCTTCATCTCTTTTTGTTCCACATCAGATTTTATCTTTAAAGATTTATAACATCATGAGGAAGAAATAATTGCCATAATTTTATTTTTAAAAGCTGTCGATTAAATCAGGGGCATACAATTTTTGAGCACCAGAATATTAGACTTACGATGCAGACAAGGGTGGGCAAACAGTTACACGTAGGGGTTTGAGTCCACCCTGAAGCAACTCACGAGAAGCAGCAGGCAGTCGGCTTACATGCAGCCGCTGGTATGACGAGGCAGCACCGTTCTACTTTGAGACTTTAGGTTTGTCAGGAGTTGGAATGGAATGTCAAGAACAAATGCGGTAATTTCGTTTGTATAAAGCTGTCCTCATATTGTTTTCAAAGGCATGTCACTAATACATAATTTGCCAGTACATATTAGCCATTTAAGGCATTTATTCACTTTGAATAGGCAATTTGATTTTGGATGGAAAAATTTAGACTTTGAGGTATCTTAGGACCACATCCTAATCCAATTTTCTTATTTAATAGAAGAGGAATCTGAGGTGCCACAATTGGATTTATCTGTTATCACACATCTAATTTGATGTCAGAAATGGAATTCAATACTCCTCAGTTATTCTTGGCTCAGTCCTTTCTACTACACCAAAATGATCAGCAAACATTTTCTTTATTATTACTACTAAGTGGTTTGGAATGCACGAGAATGGTTCACATACTATTTTATTCTAGTTACTTAAAAATTCTCAAAGCACTTACACTTAGGAGCTACCATTTTTGGGAAACGAGGGTTGCCATTTTTCTCTCAATGCAGCTCATTTTTGTCTACAAAAGAGCAGTATAATTTATTGGTGAATTTTAATTTCTTTAATTTCATCACACGGCCATTCTATAACCTATCGGGTCAGTCTCTGTGAGTCGGAATCAGCTCCGTGGCACTGCGTGTGAGTGGCATTCCACGAAGAGCCTTGGTGGCGTTGTGGGTCAGGTCTCAGCAGCTAACCAAAGGCTCAGCAGTATGATCTTAGCAGCCATTCCTCAGGAGAAATCCGTCAATTTGCTGCCCTAACCTTGCAGCCTGGAAAATCCAATGGGGCAGCTCTACTCTGTCCTATAGGGTCTCTATGACTCCATGGATTTTGGTTCTTTCTATGGCCAATTTGATTAATTATCGAGTCCTTTCAAAACAGACATTTACCATGAATTCTAAAAATAGAATAGTTTTTCTTGTAGTTCTTTCAAAAAATTATCAAATTATATATTTTTTAACTGTACATTGTAAAGTGTATTCTTAAAACATTTAAGTTATATTTATAAAAAGTCTTTTTTTTTGACTCAAGGACCCTTTTGACTATATTGGATGATTACTACTTAGATAGAATGCAGGCCAATTAACAAATGGTGCATAAATGGGCTTGGACAAAAAGATACAAATTACTTTTAATTGATCACCTTATATTAATTATCTTGGTGATAGATAAAAGTTATTTTAGATTAAAGTTATCTTAAAAATATGTTTTAACTTGAGTTTTTTCACCAAGACTAGTTTGGTTTGACATACAGGATACCTAAAGGATGTCAATGTGATTTCTCACCCACTGCATCACTGATGACTTACATGTGTAAATAGCACACCTTAGAATGAAGTTAAGAAATAAGTTTCATAACATTTTCTAGCCATCAAGAAATTGGGTATAGTGTCAATTCTATTGACAAGAGATTAGAATGCTTAAAGCCAAGATAATTCATTGGAATTATTAGGATTACATTGAACCTGCAAGTTGGAGCATGTAGGTCTCATCCTTTGCACACACAAATGTTCAAAATAATTCTTTTAATCAGCTTTTATTCAGTATTATCCTTTGGTAGATCATGCATTAGATTGTTATAAAAGTAGTGTGAACTTTTATGTATACAAATGTTAAATCAAGTACAGATTTTAATAATTATATATACATTTAAATGCTAACAATAAAAAAGACCCAGATGCCAAGAAATTAAATGCAATAAAAAATGAAATATTTATTCTTTTGGCTCAATAATGACATAGTTCACCATTCCTTTTAGTAATAGCAATTCCCTGCATGCAGTTCAATACACTACAAGTATATAGTTTTTAAAAATGAATTAATATAAACTTTAGGCTTGTGTAAAAACAAAAAAATTATATCATGTTAGGTAATTGCACAACCTTGCCACTTTGTTCATGGCTAATGAGTGTCAACATAGCCCACTTTAAATCTGTAATGACTTTAGTGCAGCAGGAATTAAAAAAATAAGACTAGTCTGCATAAGCAAATACTACAAAAGTTAAGTTAAAAAAACAACAACAACAAAATCCAAAACCTTCATGAATAAAGAGTTACATTTTAGGTCACCATAGTTGGTAGAAAATAATGTAGGTGTAAATTTTGAAAATTTATCTCATTGGATTGGTAGAAAATATATTCAAAGAAATCCACAAAATGCATTGTCTAACTGTTATTATAGGAAATTATCCATTGAAAATTCTTATGGATTCAAAAATCTGGACTTGTGATTAAAAAAAAAAGCAAAAGCATAAAGTAAAATAAATTGCCAAGTCATCAACCTGAAAATAATTTTCTTATGTACAAAATGCTGACAAATAAAATTGATTATATTTTTACATTATTTATATTTAAACATTTTTTATGTAGTCTTAGTAAAATATGAAGTGTAGGTTTTGACAATAGGCAGTATGCAGTGTGTTACCTTGAAATTTATAGAGACACCATATGATAGTTAAGTTGCATTAAAAATGCAAAATTAAGGTGTGTTTAAATAACATTAAACTATTCTGCTTGACAGAGTAGACTAAGAGCTGGTTGACCATTTGAATTCACTCTACTACCAATGTGTGACTTCCTCTAACCAAGACTCCTGAAGAACGGACTGAATAAAAGAGAGCAGCATAGCAATAGTAACATGCATTCGTGATAGCCTTCAAACTATTTATGTTTAATGAATGGTACAGAATACATCTCTGTTGGAAGCTTGCAAAACACACATACTGTGGTACATATTTGATTTACTAGAAGTTGTTTATCAGGATATACATATATATGTATATATATGCCTGTCATATATATATATATACACATATATATATATGACATTTGTCCAAACATGCACCACAGGATAAAATAACTACATATTTACATAAAGGGTGTTTAATTGACATGAATGTCAGCTTTGCTAAGAGCAGAAAATGGCAAAGCAATGGTGCAGCAGAAGTGGAACAACTATTCTGAAGCCATACTTTAGATACTTTTCTAGAACAGATTTATTAAATTACATTTTGAAAAGCATTTAACCAAAATTAAATATAGAGCTCTGGAACTTAGAATAAAATTTGCACTTGCTGAAACAGAATACTTTGCATAAAAATAATCTTTAAAAATTAGAGGAGACTTTACAGGCACATAACTGTTCAGATATAAACAAACATAACAGAGTAAAACAGTTTCAAAATTAGAGCTGTCAGGAGAGTGGAAGAAATGGTGTTGATGTTAGAATTTTTTCCTGCTGATGAGCAACATTTCATTGTTCAAGCAAAAGAGTGGATTGTGGAAGAGGAAAATAGGCTTCTTAAGCACTTTCCCCAACTTAAACCTCGCTTACAAAAATAACAGCAGAGTGTCATGTACAACCTATGAATTAGGAATGAGGAAAATCCCCCGGAATAAATTTTGTAAAAATATGGCAGATATGGAAGTTAAAAATAGAGCGATGCGAGTAATGTCCTAAAGGTGTATGGTGTGGTTAATGATCGCTTTGCACAACTATCCCTACAGTCTAGGTAGCCATGGAGCTTCTCCTCAGCAGTGTCATCTGGTAGTGAAAAGAGCAACCTCTTGTCCTTGTTGATACCCTGTCTCACAGAGAGGCAGTGACAGAGGCCACTGCTGTGTTATAGGCACTGACCATTAGTATTTGTTGAAACAGTCAGTTTGGCAAAGATCGCCTCTTGGCATAGATCTCCCTAGTCCAGTTGACACATAAGCTTTACCTTCATAGGCTGTAAACAATTGATCACAAAGATAATGATTTCTTTTTTTTTTTTACTTTTAATTTTCTTGAACCCCTTTTCCTTTGCTTTCCTTTTCAGCTTTGTCTTTCTCAAACTTTTCTTTGTCTGGCTTTGTTACACTGTCATAGGAAGGTGGGGAGGTGGTAGAAGGACTTCCATCTGTTTTTTCTGGGGTGGAATTCCCATTTAATTTGTCAATAATCATGTCTTCTTTTATAGGTAAGTCAATCCTCCCTTTGATCGCCTCTTTGTTATATTCCCTCGATACCGTTTTTAACCTTTGCTTTAAAAGATAACATCTGAAATTACGCTGAATGATAGAAGCAGACACCTCCTCTTGTTTCCGTTTCAGAGTGGTGGTGATGGGCTCGTAGGAGACTTTGGAGGGATTCGATGCCATGAAGCGATCTTCCATCTGTATCCGAAGGGCATCCATCTCCCCGCTCTCCCCCAGAACCCGCTTTGTGAAGGCAAACAGGATGTCGAGGCAGTGGATCCGGTCCCCGCTGACCATGGGCAGGTCCATGGCGATGAGCTGGACTTTGTTGGGTTTGGCGATGAGAAGAGGCGGGTCCAGGGCAGCCGCAAAATCTGAGAGTTTGACAAACTCGATAAACTGGGTGGCGTCAGGATCAAACTTCTCCCAAACCTCGTAGAACATCTCGAAGTCGTCCTCGCTCAGGGGCTCTGCACTCTCCTCCGTGGCCACGCTGAAGTTCTCCAGGATGACAGCGATGTACATGTTCACCACCACCAGGAAGGAGATGATGATGTAGCTGACGAAGAAGAAAATCCCCACCGATGGGTTGCCGCAGTCTCCCTTCACTGAGCTCCCGGGGTGAATTGTGTCGGGGTCACAGTCTGGGGGTGCACTATTGAGGATGGGTGCCAGCAAGCCATCCCAGCCAGCAGAGGTGGTGATTTGGAAGAGGCAGATCATGCTGTTGCCAAAGGTCTCAAAGTTGAACATGTCATCAATCCCAGCCTCCTTTTTAACATAGGCAAAGTTGGACATCCCAAAGATGGCATAGATGAACATGACCAGGAAGAGCAGGAGGCCGATGTTAAACAGCGCGGGAAGGGACATCATCAAAGCGAAGAGCAGGGTGCGGATCCCCTTGGCCCCTTTGATCAGACGCAGGATTCGGCCGATCCTGGCGAGGCGGATCACTCGGAACAGGGTAGGGGACACAAAATATTTTTCTATCATTTCAGCCAGAAACATACCTGTGGAAAAAATAGAACAGGTAAACTCTGAATATCCTTAAGCCTTTATCTTTATCTTTGCAAGGCTAATGGAATCAATACATTTGTTACTGAACATTATAGTTTGTGTTGCCAAATTTTTACAATAATTAAGTTAAAAAATTTGATATCTGCCTCCACCTTTCACCTGTGTGTTACTTTCCTTAGAAGCATGAGTGCATCTAATGGGTCTGATTCTTGTTCATCCATTCATTGTGGCCAATATTCGTGGTGTAGTTTCAGTCAAGTAAAATTTTGTCTGTAAACCCAGGTTTTAGAGTTTTTATAAAAAGACATGAGGACTAAACTTCAGTCCTATACATACTATGATCCGAAGGCCTAATGCCCATGCAGCACAGCGATCGGGCTTTGGGGAGCCATTGCCCTATGCTGTACCTCGGTGTAAGGAAAGCGTTCTTACCCACAATGGAGAGAATCACCACCACAAAGTCAAAGATGTTCCAGCCTATAGTGAAGTAATAGTATCGGAGGGAGACGAGCTTCAGCACGAATTCTCCAGTGAACAGCACAATGAACACAAGGTTGATTCGAGACAAAACGATAGTCATGTATTTACTCTGGTCATCTGTTTCCACCATCATGGTGACCATGTTGAGGCAGATGAGGATCATGATGCTGATATCAAAGACTTGTCTCGTTACGAAATCGAACACCATTCCTTGGAATTTATTCTAGAAAGCGAGAGAAGGAGAAGGAGAGAAGGAGGGCATGAAAGGTTCATTATGTTTATTAAAAATATAATATATTTCAAAAATAATGATCCAGTAATATGATTAAAGTCTTTCCACAACTCACTTTAATATACATATCCTTCTCATTTGCACAAACATTTTTGTGTGTTCTCTTTTTGTCCTGGCTTTTAAAAATAACAATAACAACTAATCATGACAAGAACAGAACAAATTTGGTTCATTTAAGTCCCATAGGAAGAGAAAACAAGAGTTAAGACATAAATTGGTGGCAATTGGGTTGATAATTTGTATGGACTCTGCTTGATTCAATAAGTATTATAATTTTTAAAATGACAATCAATAATGAGCACTTATCTATAAAATAAGTTGATATAGACATACTTTTAGAATGTATGTATACCTCAATTTAATTATCAGTATTTTAGAAATTTACCTTCCAGATAGGTTAGTCTCTTTTCAATTTCATTCTATCTCTTCTCTGTGCTAATGTTTTAAATGTATCTATTTACCCTTTCATCTTGCCTTCGGAATCTCCGCTTCAACAAAAATATATGTGCTGTTTTAAATGTTTTCTTTGTTTTAGCATTGAACCTCAAGCTTTAACACTGAACCTCATGCTTTAAATTATTCCTATGTCCATATTACTGTTGAGTATAATTTTTACTAAAAGAAAGTTTTAATAATTTCATATAAAATAAAATTTAATTGGCTCCCCCAAACCCCTCAAACATGAACAGCACAACCTTTCTTGTTTGAACTATAATATGGAAGTGATAGTCAGGACCTTTGTGCACCATCCCATATTACCACACCCTCTAAACTGTGAGTCAGTGCTGAATCATAGCACCCCCCTGTGGGTTTCTGTAACTGTTTAAGGGAGCAGAAAGCCCAGTCTTTCTCTCATGGAGCTTCTGGTGGTTTTGAGCTTCCGACCATGCAGCTCACAGCCCAATGTGTACCCACTATACAACCAGAGCCCCAGTGGAACCATGTGGTGGTTGTCACCACACCTTAGCTGCAACTAATTTTTAACATATGAAAATTGAAGGCATTCATAGCGTTCCTAAGATCTCAAGTCTAGTTATGGAATTAGGGGCTCTGAGACTTTGAGTAAGACACTTCTCTAATTTGGGCCTCAGTTTTCTGGTTCCCTATCCATCTTAAAAAAATAGATGAATTAGAAACCAGCACAGTGAACAGGCGATGCCGTTAACATGCCTTTCCATTTTTATGAAGCTGTATAGAATGCACACTCCAATAAGAAGTTTCCTCTTTTAGAGTATTTGGTGAACAAATGAGCTATTTGATAACACTCTTTGTATTCTCAAACATTGTGGATACTTTTTAGTCGTACCCCAACCCCTGTCCTTGAGTTATAACGGACCCATAGGACAGAGGAGAACTGCCCCTGTGGGTTTCAGACTAATTATTTACAAGAGTAGAAAGCTTCATCTTTCTTCTGTTGTTTTGTCATTGGAGTGAACGCTTGTCGTAGAAGTGAACAAAACGAACAGGAAAGAGGGAGACCCACAGGGATGAAAATGTCCATCTCTGTAGAAGGAAAACCAAATGCCATACAACACAGTCAGAGGAGCCAGATTCAGGCGGGTGCTGAAAGCAGGTTGAAGAAAAGTGAGACTTCTTTGGGAAGTGGTCATTTGGAACCAGGCTTGAAGATTCAACAAACCATAAAGAAAAATGAGAGTAGATTTTTAAGTTAATACCCGTTAAATCTGTCTGTTTTAAGCTATAGGCATGTTTTTTTTCATATTGTAGAAAATACACTTAATATGATTTCCTTTTTAACAACTTACTTATTAGCAGTTGTGGCTTGTGTTACATAGTATGGACTATATTGGTGATATTACCGAACATATTTTTGATTCATAAGTTGATAACATAGAAATAAGGTGCTGGAATTTTACAGAAGTTGAGAAATTCTTACTGCTGGCCGAGGTATGGGTTTCTGAGGTTTCTTGGACCCAAGTTTCTTCATGGCATTGTAATATTTTTTCTGTTCCTCTGTCATAAAGATGTCTTGACCTCCAAAGTAAAGACACAGTAGAAAACTGGTTAAAATCCCAATATGTTTTACAATAGTACTTTTAATAAAAATATTAAAATATTTGTTTTTTTTCCTTTTATCATTTCTCAATTTTTATGTTGCTATAACACTGCTTTATGAATATTTCCCTTTTTCTATTTAAGTGAAATTATGAATACTTTAAAATATTCAAACTCCATAATAAATTCTGAGTAGCAGAGGTTCTTAGTTTGATTTTTTTCTAATGGTTAGAAGGAGGATTAGGGGTCCCAAATTCTTGGACTATAAGAAATTCAAAAACATAATTTAAATTCATTTGTTTTTGACCAGTTCCTTTGTGCTAGACAATGTATGTAAGCATTACATAGAAATACAAAAAGACATAGCATTCGGGGTCTCAGTCGGGAAGGAAACTGACAAATACAAAGAGTATCCACAAAACCGCACTGTAGCTGCAACAGTGAACTCTGAGTCAGAGATGAGCTTTACAAAGGAAGGTACATTGAAGCCAGACCTTAAAGGACAATTAGGGCTTGGTAGGCATAGCATTTCAGGAAGATAAATGATCACATGCAAAGTCATTTTGAATAAGAGCATGGCTTGTTCAGGAAAGAAGAGAACAACTAATATAGTCAGAACATAGCGTACATAGCAGGTGACCGTGGGGTGGGGGCCTAGTTCGGTGGGTGGAGTGTGCTTGTGAATGGGGAAGTATACTCCCGTACGGAGAAAGTGATATGTGGGAGCAGGGTAAGCCCGAACAGAGAGTCCAGGTGGTGCTTGAAAATCTCTCTCCACAAGCTGAGTTACAAAGTACTGGATGTTTCAAAGCAGTGGTAACAAAATAATGTATCAGATTTATGAATCAGAAAAAAATACGGTCGCATCTATGCAGAGGATGGACCTGGAGAAGGGCCAGAGTAGTGAGGGGAATGTCCTGTGGTGAGTAACCGCGCAGTCAGCTGCACAATAACGTGAACATGGTCCGACTGCCCCGACTCTCCGGGGCTGGCTCAGTATTTGCTGTGTAACAGGCAGACTCCCGGTAGAGAAGGCCGAGAGTTGAGGAATACTTATCTTCTTCTTCTGTTGGTTGAAGTTATCAATGATGACACCAATGAAGAGATTCAGAGTGAAGAATGACCCAAAGATGATGAAGATGACAAAGTACAAATACATGTACAGGTTCTCTTCATAGACAGGCTGAAGCTTAACCTAAAGAACGTTAAAATATGCTTTAAAATAGTAAACAAAATACAATGAATATTTAGGAAAGTGTTATAATCTCACAAGCATTGCAAGAACTTTTGTTTTGCCTTGGAAAATCTGCAAAAAGTTTTTTTTTTTTTTCCCTCTAGCTACCACATTCTGGTATAATGGCAATTTACATTTTATGATTGTTCTTAAATGTGTTTTTCTCTTGTTCTTACATGTAAGACCTGTTAGATATTCTTTAGAGGATATAACAATGATATCAACAAGGTAAAACATTTGGAGGCAATCTGTCTTTTTTTTTTCTCTTTATAATTGGGTTTGGAAATACTGTGTTTTGGTAAAAGAACATAAATTTCTAAGAGTATAGACCAGTATATTCTGAGGAATTCTTTTTATTTCCACCTTTCAAATCAAATCTTCCCCGAACCTGGTTGCTTTCCCATATCATGATACGCTTGGAAACCACACCATAGCCACTGGCTTGTCAGACCCTCCAGTGACAGGCAGAAACACGGTTCTCCTGCACATCATCCCGCACTGAAGAGTCTTGTCTGTGCTGTCTTCCATATGGAATATTAAGTATTATCTATTAGACATGTGTTAGCAAAGTATCATGAAAATTAAAGTGTATTGATTGAAAATGATCATTTTTATTTTTATATGCAGAGATAAGAGAAATAATTTTCCTCTAATAGAAAATTCTGGAACTCTCAGCTAAATGAACACAATTGAAAATTCTAGTAGCTATCAGAAGTATTTTTAAATGATACTTACATCTCGTGAATCAACAGCTGCATACATAATATCCATCCAGCCTTTAAATGTGGCCTATAAATAACACACATTTGAATTAAGCATAAAACCCTCCTCTGAAAAGACAGCATTTTACCAGATGAATATTTGGTGTTGCGGATTATATTTTTGTACTATTTTGAGATTCTGTTGGGGCACTAGATTTTTATTTCTAGTAAGGACCTGCATTTCCTTTGTTTTGCTGGAAAGAGATTATATTCTTTCTACACTACAGTTTAATAAGCCTTATGGTAGAGGACTGATTCTTGACACTCCCACCTTGGTTTCAAATATCTCATGCTCATAGAACTCTATGATTCAAAATTATGTTTTTGTGTGAACAAAATTCAATTGGGCTCTAATTATTAACGATTACACATTTTAAAACCTAGTCATTAAGATATAAACTTCCACACATACAGCAGAGTCATGCTCTTTAGACATCGGTATTATAAAGGATCCTTCATCAGTACAATATTTACACTATTATTTCAATATGTAAAATGGCTACTTTGACAATGATGGTGTCAGATAGCTAAAAAGGATAATAGTGGTCAGTAAGTTTCAATAATATAACGAATCAAGCAAAAAAAGCAGATGTATAAAATCACATGTAAACTATTTCAAGTAAATGCAGTCTGATATTACTATGCAACATCTTTACAGTCAAGTAAGTTGAAGTATATATGAATTGTCAAAAACTGTGTGGTGCAAATGGTTAATCAGTGTAGTTGTTACGTGAAAGGTTAGAAGCCAAGTCCACTTAGTGACACCTTGGAAGAAAGATTGGACATTATAATCCTGGATACCAGCCACTGGTTCAATAGCAAATTCCTATTGAACGCAGTTCTACTCTGACACACTTGGGGTTATTAAGGGTCAGAATAAATTCTGGCACCTAGCTTTTATCATAAACCACTTCTCTACTTTCAAATACTAATTCAAATAATCAAATGATCTTACTTGAACTAGTTTGAAAATGTCACAATGCCCACAGTGGTCACTTACCACTTGCAGCAACGCAAGGTAACCGGCGCCAACGTTGTCAAAGTTCACCTTCACATTTTTCCACCGAGCCTGCTGGCCAAGAGCCTGACAGTCGCTCAGATTGTTGACTTCCCGAGCGTCAAACACGTCGCCCGTTGTCATGTTCACACAGTGGTAGAACTTGCCAGCAAACAGATTCACACCCATGATGCTGAAGATCAGCCAGAAGATGAGACACACCAAGAGCACGTTCATGATCGATGGAATTGCTCCAACAAGGGCATTCACAACCACCTTCAGGAGGAAACAGAATCCGGCAGTTTACACCCCGGTCGGTCAGAAGGAAACGATTCTTTGCACTTAATTACTCAGTACTAAAATGGGTTTGAACTACGTGAAATAAAATCTAGGTGGAAGCGGTATTTCTTTGGATGTTTTCTAATTCCCACTTGATGAGGGAATGCAGAGGGACACAACTAAAGGACTGACGTGTTTACTGAAAGCAAGAAATGCCACAGTGTGACAAGAAGTCAACAAAACCTGATGAGTAAGATGGAGTCAGAAAATGTTTGTGTACTGGGGTGGGGGACTTGTTAGACATCAACAGAAGAACTGACCCTCATTAAGCAATATATTTGAATTGTAAGAAATGATCATTTGAAATACCGATGAAACGAATTCTTTAAAATGAAGTATTAAAATGTATAAAAATTAAGTGTAAGAACGGATTAAAGTGTATCTTCAGATGAACTTTTTATGTCTATGTGGACTAAGATCAGAAATGTACAAATCCAAATAAAAAATAAAAAACTAATTCAAGTAAAAGAGTATATTAAATTAGGTAATGAAGTTAAATTTTTCTTTGACACAGAAGTATTGACTATGTTTCTTTATTAATACACTATAACTTAAAATTCATTTTGGGGGCATACAATCATATAATACTTTACCCAACCCAGGTTGACTTATTTCGTGAAGAGAAAATTCAGTCACTTTCTATTTTGTGAGGTTCAGAAAGATCAAGATGTGTTTTGAAATCTCTCAGAAGTGGAAACTACCTTTTCTTCCTTACTTTAATCTAGAATATCAGACTACTTTGTTTAGGAATGGTATTAAATCAAATTATTATGTTAAAATATGGTAACATTTAGAAATTGATACAAAGAATTTTAAATTGACAGGTCAAACTTGAAATCCAAGTTCTAAACATTCCCTGTGCTCCATTATCTTAAAAAAAATTATGAAGTCCCATATATCACACTTGCCATTTGGTTCCAACTTAAATTTGCCTCAGATAATATCCATGAGCTATTTTATTTTCCAAGTACACATGCCATTTAGCATATTTTTTCCAGAAGGATTTTAAAATTCTGCCAAATAACTCCTTTGACTTGGCACAATGGAGAACCTTTTCAGATCTGAACAAATGTGGAAATATTTCATTTCTTTACACTGTCTGTCTCCTCACAAGAGAGCATTATAAATAGAAAACAATGCAACCAGAAAGCTTGAGTAATGTAAGTAATTTTAAAAGGTTGGTGTGAAAAGCACTTGAAGTTGTACAAGGCATTTATGGGTTTTACCTGGCTTTGTCACTCTTTAGTGAGCAGTAATGGAAATTAAATTAAAGTGTGAAAGAAAGTAGGTTCTTACAATGCTCCTAGGAAGGCTAAAAGTGGCTTTCTTTGCTTTGATAAGTGAAATTTGAAATGAAGGCTGCAGTGCACTATCGCCCAAACAAACCACCTCCTACCATAAAGGCCTTTTGACCTAGAAGGAATTCAATAACCATACGCACGTGCGAGCTGGAATAAACAAAGCTGGTCTTCGTGGTAACTAGCATTTTGAGGGGCTTGACAAGTGGGCTTGCAGCTATAGAAGTGTGTGTTTTATTTAGACACGTAAAATATACGCTAAGGATGAGTGCTGTTGAGGACAGAACCAACCCGATGGAAAAAGTGAAACTCATTCGGAATGCTCAGTGTAAAGACAGTTAGCGAGGCAAAGCAGACCTCAGCGCGTGCCGAGGCAATTATCCTAACCCTCTATTTGACCTAGACTGTATAGGTTTGTCTGAGGCTACAATTTAAGGCTATCTTCTTATATAGTGGTTATGTGTATTACTGATATTAATTCAAGAAGTGTTGCACATAGGGAAACACGCCAAACATCTAAAGACAAGTGTTCAAGGCCAGTTCCCCGGGGGAGGGGAAATGTGTTTTAGACCACAGACACGTGTGGTTTTCGGTGATGGCAAAAGCAACACTGCATTTAGATGTAGCGAACACAGCACCCCAAAAGTGACAATGAGTGTGTGAGCACATATGGGTTGGTACAGGTAAATTGGTGTACAACAGATGTAGGAATATACATAGGTAAGAACCAAAATGGCTACATTTTCATGTAAATACAAGTATATATGGTTGAAGGCACATATGCTCATTGAAGATATAACTATGGATCATGTCCATCTTCCTAGGTTGATATTTGGGGCTTTGCAATCTTAGGACTATAGTCCCATGGGGCAACTCTGTCAATTGGAATAACAGTTCACACATATTTGATCTGCATCCTAATGCAGTGAGTAGTGGCTAGAGTGTTAAGTGCTGTTAGGTAGTCATTAAACACCTAACTATGGGTCTCTTCTTGCCAAGAGCCAAGAGTAATAAGGGAGGCCCAATCTCCTCTAGTCTGTGACCAACAACTGGCATGGTGCTTGACTCTGACTGCCATTGATCATTCTGAGTAGGGTCTCAGTCAACCGGGAAAACTATGGAGCAGAAGTCTAATTTTTGTTAACAGCAAAACAGGCAAACCGGAACTCTGGGGAAGAGAAAGCTCCCTGAGACTCAATGGAAAACATGCGTTTAGAGGATGTGGAGACATCCTTGGACACTGATCGAAAGATGCAAGGAAGCTAGTTCTGGCTCAGCCATGACACAGTTTTGTAGGACCTCTTTAAATAAGTATCCGTTTATTTCTGGACACTAGGTGAGGATCTTGATGATTCCTGCTATGAAAGTTTCTAACTCTATGAAAGAATAATCAGATGTGTATAGCTCCTCCCAGCTTTTAAATTATGTAATTTAAAAACATAGATGTATTTTTTAAACATCAATCACCCAAGTGCTTTTATTCATCTTACCCTCATGCCTTCAAATCGGGATAAGGCTCTTAGAGGTCTTAAAGCTCGGAGTGTCCGGAGGGATTTGATGGCACCAAGTTCTGAGTAACCAAGAGCATTGGCAACTAAGCTAACCAAAGAAACCTATAAAGGGAAACACAATCATTACCATCAAGAAACTGTTGATCAAAGGCATACAATGGGCTATCTATTCTTTTGAGCTGGTCAAATGACCCTGTCTCGGCAGCCATCCTCTTCCACATAGTAGACGTAGCTTGCTTTACCAGCCTGGCCTTAAGCTATTGCTTTCCTTGCCCTGAGTCTTTTCCATTTATTAATAAATATTTTTGAAGCCTTGCACTTAAAATGCAAATTTTAGATATTTGCCCATGTGAGGTTTATTTCAACCTATACATAATCCACCAGTAATTGATGATTTGGGCTCAGGTCAGCATTTCCATGGAGCTGTGCTTAGAGTCACTGGTTAGAAGTGATTCTGCTTTCTTTAGCTACATACCATCTTGGTCCTGGTGAGTGGAGACCTTTACTTTGTGATATAGTCAGTTGTTAGGTATCACATCCTTTGGCAGGGGTAGGGTGGGGCAGGGGAATTTTTATGTATCTTGAGTTTGCTTCAGTCTAATATCATTGATTGAGCATTTACTCTGTGTTAGACTATCTCCTCAATGTCTCCTATGTAAAGTTCCTAAGAAGTAGATGTTATTACTTTCTCCTTTTCACTGGCAAAATAAAATGGAGGGGAAAAAGTATACAATTAATAAGAGGGTTGAACTAAAAAAATCTGGGTTGAACTAAAAAATCTGGCTTTAAAATTAGATTTTACCCAGAGTGCTCTACCTGACCTGAGCTCTATGTAACACTGGTTATAATTTAACACCCTTTAGTACCCATGGCAGTGCATGCACGATTGATCGCGATGACCTACGAGAAGAAATAAAAGCAGATTGTTTCAAAATCATAAAAATGCTCATTAAATAAAGGCATATCAAAATGTGAAGCTATATTTTGTCAAGATCCCCTCCATCCACATCTCTGTACTTCAGAAGGTGGGCACCACACCTCAAACCATTCCCTGAAGATTTCTGAGCTCGGCCATTAAAGTGCCCTCCAAATGGAAGTTTTGGCCCCTCCAGGGCTTCAAGTCATGCTTCTTCTCAACGTTCTTTGAGTTTTAGGATCAAAGAGATGTCTGCAGGGAGCTATCAGCTGGAATAAAGTTTTCCAAGGAAATTCTCGTAGCACAGCTCCTCATGACTGTGAAAAACGTGCAGGTGTATCATCAGAATGGGAAAAAGTCCCTCCGCCTTTTTCTCACCCATGCCATTTTAATTTTTCTGAAAACGTTTAAATAATAAGCCCCTATAATCTCTCCATGTCTTTCAAAAAAAGTATCATATTAAATTGTTGGAATTCCACAAAATAGTGGCTACAGTTCTGTGACATAAGTTCTCTGCATTGAGTCCTAGTGGCCAGATTTCTTCGGAAGCTCCAGGTTTGGCCAGGCCTTGTTCTCCGGATCACATTGACCATGTGGGTAGACCCAGGACTCATCCCTGATTATGATTTGTTCCTGGAATCACTTTCCTTAGCGTTAGTCTTACTGAAAAGTCTAGTAGAAATCTCAGATGCAACATTTTTGGCACCCATCAAGCTTAAAAATGGAAAATGACTTGAAAATACTGAACCACGTGAGACCCCTACTTCAGTAGCTGTTGCACTGGTTGTGAACCTAAGGTCTTCTTCCACGAGTCTCTGTGTTTCAGCCACACTTTCATTTGCCCAGCTTGATTGTCTTCTCTCTCTCTTGGCTCATCTTTGAGGCCTTCTTGTGCATTCTTAAAATCCTTGATTGATCTAAAATTTT